TCCAAACCAAGGTACTGAGCATGTATTTTAACAGAAGCATGTGGTCTTTCTAGCTGTATTTTCATTGGAAAGAAAGGTTTACTTAAGTTCTTGTTATGCATGTTACTCTCTAGCATGTTATGATACAAAAGATTGGGCAAAGATGACTTCATTCCAGTCTGTTGTCCAGAAATACAGACGGTGAAGTCTGGAACATGGATTTGTGTACTGCCAAAACTTAATGAAATATTATTTTATAGGTTCATTGATTTCTGCTGAGGAAGACTTAGAACTCTCTTGACTTTGCCAGGTTGCACAATAAGTGGTATTCATTGTACTGAAGAGGTTATTGAGAAATCAGAACTCATACAGGAATCAGTGACATTGATAGGGGCCTACAAGAAAGCTCGGGGGGACTTTATACAAGGGTATGTGGTGATAGGACAAGGGGCGAAGGGTTTAAATTGAAAGTGGGGAGGTTTAGATTAGATATCAGGAAGAAGTTCTTCCTGGAGAGGGTGGTGAGGCACTGGAACAGGTTGCCCAGAGAAGCTGTGGATGCCCCATCCCTGGAAGTGTTCAAGGCCAGGCTGGATGAGGCTTTGAGCAACCTGGTCTAGTGGAAGGTGTCCCTACCCATGGCAGGGGGGTTGGAACTAGATGGTCTTTTAGGTCCCTTCCAACCCAAACCAGTCTGTGATTCTATGACATAAATGCAGATCCCGGATGTGGAGCCATTGTGCTTCTCTCTAACTGCAGTAGAGTTTTCTAGCTGCAGGCCAGACTAATGAAAATCTTAAGATTCATATTCTTACAAATTTACAGAGTTGGGGTTATTTTTCACTGCAGTTGGTAATGGCAGTTTTGTTTGTCTGAAAATAAAATTGCTCGTTTGCAAACTCAGTGCAAGTGAATCGAGATCTGCAAGACTTGTCACTAGATGTAGGATGGCACCATCCTGAAATTGTTCATGTTCTGTAGCTTTGTAGCAATGGAGAGTAGTATCAGCAAACAGCATTTTGCTTTAAACCTGAATTTCTAAAATAACATTTTTCTTCTATTAATTTTCAGTTCCAACAGAAAAACGCTTATCATAATCTGTGTATATTATTCTGTACTTATGTACCCGTACACTTAGTTTTATGGTGTTTTCTTTTTTTGTCTTGAAGATTCTTGGATATCCCAGTCAGCTTCCTTCCCTAGGAATCAGAAGCAACCAGGTGTGGATTCCTTGTCACCTGTAGCATCACTTCCTAAACAGATTTTCCAGCCTTCTGCCCAGCAGCAGCCTTCTAAACAGGTTAAAGTCACATGTGCAAACTGTAAAAAACCTTTGCAAAAGGGACAGACCGCATACCAGCGAAAAGGATCAGCTCACCTTTTTTGTTCTACTACCTGCCTCTCATCATTCTCACACAAACCCACTCCAAAGAAACTTTGTGTTATGTGCAGAAAGTAAGGAATTTTAAAATTTTGTTTCATATTTGCAGCTAAATGCAGTAACACTTGAGATCCTCATGCATGTATGAGAACTGCTCCATTAATGATATAAAATCTGACTATACAATTACTTTATATAGTGTCACTTCAGTGTTGTTTGGACATGTTGAATTCACTGTGTCTGCTGTGACAGGACGAAGTCTACCAGCTTTTGAATTTGGAATATGGCAGATTGTTTCTATGAAAGCTGATACACTAAAAATTACTGATAGATTTTTTTTTTTTAAGTCAAGGGGTTCAAGTTATATCCTGTGACAACATAATATTCTTCATGTCTAAAGAATATTAATATTTTTATTATAAAGAATAAAGAATATTAATATTTTTATTATAAAATATAAAGAATATTAATATTTTTATTATAAAATATATAAAAAGTGGACTTTGTGTTGTTTAGAAAGCATTCATTTTGATTGATGAATATATAAAATCAAAAGACTTTTAAAAGAGGAGAAACTGCTAAGTTTCAGGAAGCTGGAAGAAATTTGGGAGTTCTTCAACTGTTGGCAGAGTGAGGAGAGGAGAAGCCTTAGACTTTCCCCATAGTTAGGGCCAACTCTGGCAACTTTGGAAGCTGAAGATCCCTTAAGTGGGCAGTACAGAGGGAGTAACAGGCAGACCTAGAGGTGGCTTATTCTAAATTATTGGTTAGGTTTGACTTGTAATTTTTTAGTATTTCCCAAACTTCTTCAAATTGCCAAAGAGAAATCATCCATAATTGTGCTGTTGTAGTGCTAGGTGTACAAAATAGGCATACTCTCTTTTTCTTTCAGTTTACTGATTGCTGGGATACTTGCACTTTTCCCTATTTTTTCAGTAAAGTACACCCCGCAGTGACATGGGTTAAATGAGGAATTGTTGCTGAACTGAAGAAGGCTTGGAGTAAAGACTGCCTACTTTAATGTATGTTTTAGAGAGGGTGGTCTTTGCTCAGTAACAGATTTAAACTAGTGAAAAAGTTTTACTTCAGTATGCAGTTTGGTGGATTCATGGCTTGTATTCAGATGTAAGCTACTGATCTGAGTATCTTTTTTTTTGGCTTGAGACTCAGTAAAAATAAACTAAGTTGATATCCTGTGTATTCATACCTTGGTACACTGAAAACCTAGGAGATTTAGCATATTTTAGCTTCTTTTTTTTTTTCCAACCTTTGCCTTTACAGAGCTAGTTAAAAGCACTCTGTCCTCTTTCTTTTGGCTTGTTTACACTTTGAGTAATCTGGTGAGTACTGTATTTAGCTAGCTGCGTTATATATAAAGATGAAGATTAGACTGATCTTTTTTTTTTCTGACTGATATCTTGAAAACTCATGGCTAAATCTGTGCTTGTCTTGCGCTTTGGGAGATACTTATTTGTGAATTCTAAGAGGCTACATACAACACTGCCCTAAATGAAAAGGCTTTATTTGTGAATGATGAGGAAGATATGTTATTTCTAGCTTTTGGAGTTTCTTAAAATAGTTTGTTTAGTGCATTTGATTTCTAGAGAACCTCTGTCAGGTCACCTTTGATAATTTTTGAGGTGATGTTGGTCTTTTCCACTAGTATGCAGTTGCTTTCTCAATCATGGTTGAATAGAAGGCAGTTTATACATAAAATTGTTCCTCTGTAGCATGGCTTCGTTGTGAAGCCCAATCTTTTCTGGCCTTTTTTTGCTTTACTGCCAAATTTTTGCCGTCTGGTCATAGCAAACCAGGTACACTTTGCTCTCTTCTTGCTTTTGTGTTCTTTTCCTACTAAAGCAGACCTAATATTGTCAGACTGCAGTTCAGTGAAAGGATAAGAGAACTCTAGCAAAATCCATATCTTTAATGTTGGTTGGATAGATGGTGATAGTTGATATATCATAGGTCAGACTTTCAGAGGTAATGCTCAAATTTATTTTAAATATCTTTATCTAGCACTCTTCTGAACCTTTGTAACTACAAAAATAGTGTAGGAATTATTATAAGAAGGAAAGTATAGGAAATATCTGGCATTCTCCTTAGTATTTAGATCTTCTATTGACTTGTGTGACTATTCTTGACTTTGCAGTTGTCCTTTGGTACAAGTTAATATGTGCTTTGATACAACTTAATAGTGTTTATAAGTCCTGGTGGAATCTAGCCAGAAACCATAAGCTCCTCAGGGCAGGAGCTCTGGCTTTGTTTTCCAGAACAGAAGTGAAAACACTTCCCAACACAAAACCTTATTAGCTTGCCAAAGGGCAAGCCAAAATCTGCTGTCTTGCCTTTGATGGAAGAAGGCAGGCTTGCAAGTGTTGAGATCCAGGGGTGGTACAGGTTTATTTTCAAGGGAGTCTTGTCTTGAGAAGTATGCAGCATTTTTCCAGTGTTTTCCACTCATCCTCATTTTAGGATGATACGCGCATGTCTTTTCCAACTGGTTCCATTGTGATGTCAGTAGGGTTTCAGATGTGTCCAGATAATTTTTTAAATTTATTCTGCCCAATAGCTTTTCCTGTATGTCAATAATAGTTGGGGTTTTTTGTTTGTTTTGTTTTTTTTTTTTTTTTCTTAGAGGGTACAGGGGGAGGCTTTTATTTCTTCTCCTTACTGCTTCAAATCTATGGTATGTGATAGTTTGGGATTAAGAGTGAAACTGCCTTAGAAATGGCCTTAGAAGTTTGGGAGACCTGATTACAAAGATGCATCGACAAGCATGGTGTCAGTGACTGCTGAATTTGCAGTGCGTGCAGCATACAGTTGAAGTTCAAGGAAGTCTAGAATAAGCTTCAGTGAAAAACGGTGTAAGACAGTTGGGTTAGAGAAAGGTTTGTTCTATTTCAAATTAATGTAGTTGATTGTCTGGTTTAATGCATTAAATTGGTGCAGTTTTATAGGCAACTGCACGAACCATTCAGGTGCTTTGGAACATAAGTGATGCAATTAACTACTAATAAATTTTAAATTATAAAAATTGCTAGGCAAGTTTGTGGTAGAGTTTTAAGCTTTTTGGTTGTATATAAGTAGGAAGAAACAACCTTCTGTCTTCCTTTCAACCTATCCTGAGGTGGAAAGGGTAGAGTTTTGTACAAATAAAGACTGTTTCTTGCCTTTTACTGTAAATTGGAATTTTTCATATGAAACTTGAAGTATAGCTTTTGTGTAAAGTTGCAAAAGGGTTATTTTAAATTTGCTGTGTAAATTTTTTGTGTAAGATTGAGTTTACCACAACTGATACCTAATGGTGCATTGATGTCACTTAGTTCTGTAATAATGTGATGGGAAAAAAATAACCCCAAACAAAGAAACAGGTTTTTATGCAGGGAAAGATATTGTAGTTTCGGTACTTATGGTAGTTGTAAAAATATTAAACGTAGTGTTTGGCATGCAACTAATAACTGTACACCCACAAAACTGGTTTGAAATGTAAGCATTAAAAGGAAGAATGAATGTTATAAGATGTAAAGTGTTCTTGTTTAAATGTGTATATATGTATTTATACACAAGCACACTAGAGGTGTTTTTGTCTTTCAGAGATATAACAACAATGAAAGGTACCATTGTTGCTCAAGTTGATTCAAGTGAGTCTTTCCAGGAGTTTTGCAGTACATCATGTTTATCCTTCTATGAAGATAAGCAGAATCCATCAAAAGGAGTTTTGAATAAATCAAGATGCACTATCTGTGGTAAACTAACTGAGGTCTGGTTGACTGTTTCTTCTCTTACCTTTCTCAAAAATTACAATATTAATAAGTTACATTTTGAAATAAGAGAACCGAAAATAAGGAAACTTAACATCTGATTCAGTATTCTCATATGCAGTAAGAAATTGAGATATCCAGGCTTAATATTCTCAGAGCAGCTGAAGGAACAAAGAATTCAAAGAGTTTAATATTTGATTTTTGTTTCAGAAATTTGAAGTGCCTATTGCTGATATCTAGTAGCTACAGTCAACAGTTTTATTAGGTGTAGAATCATGTATTTGTAACCCAGATCTCCCACATGGAAGACCTGCTGTTGAAAGAAGTCAAGATTTACTGTATTATTTACCTTTTTACTGTGTGTTTTGAAAGTTTAGGCAAATGTTTTTAGAGAAATGGAGAATATACGTAATTTTAAATTCTCATGAATGTATTAATTTACTCTTGATGCTATTAGTGGGCCCACCATAGCTCAGGCTACTATTTTACACAGCATATATGTGGCCAGTCGTTATAGGTCATGTTGTTAGCCTGCAAATTGAGTATTGTATACAATGGCATGAATTGACCTTCTGCTCTAATACGCAGTTATTACATCCTTCCCTGTGATCTTTGCGTTAGGACTACAAGAGCAAGTGGGCCCAAGATAGTTTCGTAGAGCTTTGGAGACAACAGAAACACCAATTTCTGTTTCTGTACCTCACAGTCATTTCAAGCATCTCTGTTTTTAAATAGTGAGCTACTATAATCTGGTTTTAGTTGTTCTTGAATGTAAGACTTCTGGTCTGTCTGGTAGTTTGAGGCAGCTTTGTGCTTGTGTGGTGATAGAATACTTTTTTACTTTCATTTTTAGATTCGTCATGAGGTTAGCTTTAAAAATATGACTCATAAGCTGTGCAGCGACCACTGCTTCGATAGATACAGGATGGCAAATGGCTTAATAATGAATTGCTGCGAGCGTTGCGGGGAGTATTTGCCCAGTAAAGGAGCTGGAAACAATATTCTTACTATTGATGGTCAGCAGAAAAGATTCTGCTGTCAGAACTGCGTTGGTGAATACAAGCAGGTAATTACTTCTTTACCTATAAATTAAAATTAAATAAACATTAATACTCCTTAGATTTATCCTGTTATTCATAATGTGGTTTTACTTCTCATTAGAAGTCTTCAGTAACAAAGACTTCTACAAATCACAGTAATGCCAGTGAGGGCAAACTAGCCCAAATGGACCTTCTAATACTGGCTTCTTTTGATGTTGCTGTAGTAGCAATACCTATTTGTTATTAGTGAAAACACCATTAAAATTAAACTTTCTGTTAATAATTTCTATTTCTTTCTAACGGGTGTATCATTTACAAGTATATTAATAGCAAGCCTAACACACACACTTACTGGTCCTGAAGTGATACAGAAGCGTGCTTGTATGCAGTCAAAACATTCAGAAGTGTGCAGAGCATACAGATTGGATGTTGCTGTGAGAATGCTCCACCTGAATACACACTGGCTGTGTTACCTCTACGAAGTCTAATCTCCTTCACTGTACAGCACAGGATTTCAAAATTTGTTATTTTCATCCTTCCATGTGTTAAATTTTGTGCTTTCATTTTCCTTACTAGGTTTGTTTATTATTTATTCTGAAGACCATTAAGACAGTAGCAATTGTTGTGGTTAAAAATAATTCCAAATCAAGATATCTCCTGATGTCTTTCACATATTACAGAGCAAGCTTCGTTCTGAACCGTTGCTAATGCTGGTTGGAAGGTTTAAATGTTAATCGCAGTATTTATGGTATAATAGGATAGCTCTGAAATACTAAATATTTTGGGTGAGGATATGCAATGTGGGGATTTTTTTTTTCCTGTGGGTTTTTTGCTTGGTACATTCTGCTCTGAGTTCATAGGGGTAGTGTTACAATATGAAAGTACTGTTTTACCAGCAAGAAATTTCTTTGTTTGATTTTGAAGTTCACACTTGGATATGAGTGGCCTCAGTGCTGCACACTGCTTTGGGTTCTTTCTTCATCTCTTTCCATTTTTAAGAAACCAGTGTTCCAAGAGAAAAGGGAGTGCAGTGCTGAATGTTTTGAAGTTCTTTAATGTTGCATCATGTATGTTTGTATTTTCTCTTTGGACATTCAGTTTTGATGCTTTTGGGGATGGCTGTTCTTGTGTATATGTGATGTGCAAGCAGCAGATCTGGAAACATGCGTATGTAAATAGCGTAACTGAAAACGTAACATGAGCATTATTCTTTTGTCACAGCTATACCAAAAGGGACAGGATAGGTTTGCAAGATACTAAAAACATAGGCATGCCCAGAAGCCATGGAAAGACTTGAAGAAACGTTGAATACTGTCTCTTGAAGAAACAAAAAGGCATGAGATTAACTTTGAACTTGAGACACTCCCACACAACCAGTATAACATGCACTGCACATGGAATTATGAAATGAACGTGGAATTTTGAGAGGTCGAATGATAAATCTGCATTTAACTCTCATTACCGACTGTACTCTATTTGTTCAGACGTTGCTGTATTTTCTGTTTAGCTATGTATTTGAAAATGAGAAGGATATGGGTAGTAAGTTGTATGTTGTGGTTTGATTTGGGGAGGAGGAGCAGTTTGCAGTACGGGGAATCTTCACAAGTAGTGTCAGGTATCGTGCATTATTGTGAGGATCCTTAAGAGAACCTTTAAAATGGAGACACATTGTTCTGGTGCGTTCAGGTCTGACAGCAGACTTCATCCAAGCAAGTTCTGAATTCTTTTGTGGAAATACTTGGTACTGGGGAACTGTAAGAGGCTGTGAGAAGCTTAATTTGAGTGCTCATGTGCATCTGGTTTGGAGTGGTGATTAAGTGTCATTCTTAACTGGTAGGTTTCAAATGTTCCTGGAGTGTGGGGCTTTTGGGGTGTTTTTGATATTAATAGAAACTGAAACTATAAAACTAGGAGATTTTTAGTTGATGTGGTAGGTGTCAAAGTTGCTTAGGACACAGTTATTTCCGAATACTGAGTTGTGTAGCAAGATTTATTTAGGTTTGAACTTAATTTGCATTAAAGTTTTTTGAACTGATTGTTTTCAAGGAATTCTGTTTGTCACTGACAACTTATTGGGCCACAATTAGTAAATTGTAGGTTGTTTTCTTTAGTTGTAACAATGTTTTCTTGGAAATTCTTGATTAGATCTTGCTTTATAGTAGAAGTGCTGAAGGAGAGAATACGGAGAGTAGCTGATGCATACTGAAATAAACAATGGAATCAGTAATACAGGAAAAGTTGATGTATCATTTGATTACAGCATTGTGTTGTACAACTGATAATTGTGTGTCACATAACAGTTTTAGCAAATGTTTTCTTACAAACAGTTGTAAAATCCATAGGTCTGACTGGTATGAGCATTGTATTAAGCAGTTTATGTTGTACATGTCATACACCTATCGATATGCTATACATTTGTAGTAGTAATAAATGAAAACTGATTCTTACTGCTTGTACCAATCTATATACTTCATCCCTATTTTTTTGAATAAATATTACACTGATTTGAACAACTAATTTCCAGTAACTTATCATGGACCTTTTTTCTTCTCGGAGTGAAAAAAAATAAAATTGTGGGTAATAAAAATTACTGTGGCGCTCGGAATGGCCACATTCTGAGTGCGACTAATCCATTGGCTACAAGGGGTTTCTTTCCTCTGCTTTAGACTGTTGGTGGGAGTAAGAAACAGTGCTATTCCTGGGATGGGGAGGGAGTAGGTTTTTTCTGAAGTGCGTAAGTCACCTTTCAAGATGACAGATGCACTTAGCGTTCTACGTACCAGTTTCAGAACCCACTTTAAAACTGAGACACAAAGAATCTTGAAAATGCATCTCGTGTTTTGTTTTTTTGGGAGGTGATGGCTGTTCATTTTTACCTAAAACTAAAGTAACTATAGAGCTTAGGTTTCTTTCATATTAAAGAGAGTTGTGTGAAATGAATAGATTAATAATAGTGTAAAAAAAAAATAGGCATAGCCTAACTTATGTGGACTGTGGTTATAGGCAAGAGCGTGTTAATTTCCTGATGGCTCTACAGCCATTCATGAAGGTAGCTAAGTGCAAGTCAAGGTTTTTTTAAAGAGAATATATCAATAATATCCTTCCTCCAAAAATGACATCACTGCGACAATTCAGGAAAAAATGTCAAAACAAAGCTCTTACTGGAAGTGGCTATTTTTTTTTTTTTTTTAAAACCTGCAGAAGACTGCTACTACTAGATTGTAAGTTCTTCACCTGTTGCACTGAGGTTCAGACTCCTCACATGTAGAGGGGCAATAGGGACTTAAAGGATGATACTAAACAAAATGAATCAAGCAACACTAGAAGAGAGTAAGATCACATCTGACAAGGAGGTGGCTAAGTTGTGTAATTGTGCTAATGCTGAAATACTTTATTTCTTTGAGTAGGCATTTCATATAATTAAAATGAGAACCATTAAAAAAATTACTTTAAAAATTGGTATCTATGTAATAAATTGAAACAGACCTCAAATATGCCTTCTATGAAGACACGTTAACCAAAAGCACATACATACGTTGTTTCAGTGTTCCTGTTTCTGATAGTATTGCATATTTTCTGTCTACTTCCTTTTCAAGGCAGTTGCAGTGTTGTGTCCTGGATTTGGGTACAGGCTTGACAACCTTTTTCTACGGAACAAGTGAATTCTGTGACTTGGCTTGTGCCATCCAGCGTTAATTTTCAGCTGTTCAACTAAGATGAAGCTGAGTCTGTGTCTACATTTAAAAATAATCTTTAACTGCTTTGCTTACTGGCCTGATGAGTCCACAGTGCTCTCGATTCTACTATAAAGCATTTAGTCTTTACTAGTTTAAAATGTTCCTTTACTTTCTTTGATTTGTTTCCTTCACTGAAATTCTTCTTGTTCGTATATGACCTGGGATTCACTTGCTTTGGATGCTTCTTGAAAGTGATGGTCTTCATGTGCTGACAGAAAAGGGGGGAAGGCACTCTAGCTATTTCTACATAGGCTTCTTAATTGCTCTGGAATGAAGTGAGTACCAGGTGAATGGAAGCCAAATTTTCCTAGTTGGAGAGGGTGCTTTCAGTGTCTTTCCAGCTAGTCAGAATTTTCTTTCAGTACTATGTACAAGTGCATCTGATTGACATCCTTGATTAGATGAAGGCTTACTACTGAACGTACTTTAAGATTAACCAGGCTTTGCCATCCCTCTGAGCTGTTCACTTACGGAAAAATAAATCAAAACCCCGACGTAGGCAGTTGTGCTCCCTGGTTTTGAATTCTGCCCCCGGCCAATCCCACCGCTTGTGTGAAACTCTTACTACTTGTTTCATCTGATTTATCTGTGTGCAGGCGTTTAGGAGCCTTCACTGTATACAGTGACATGTGTATCGGTTCTGCAGCTTAACCGTTCCTTGCTTATTTAGAGTTTGTATTTAGTCTCACAAATGTTTTCTTATCCACTGGTTCAATCTCACTGAGTGCTGCGCTGGAATGGCTTGTCACATAGTACCTCAGTGGAAGCATCTAGGGTTTTCAACTTTGGCTTGTCCCACCTAGTGTCGGTTCTTTTTCTGTGCTTCTTTGCTATTAAGACAGATCTGTCCTTTTTAGTTTGATAGTACAATTAACTACAAAATCTGCTGCTTCCTGCTGTTGTTACTGCTTTGTAAACTCTTGTTTCCAAGTGTCTATTTCAAGAGTAAATTCTGTTGACAAACCAGTAATTGTGAGGGTTGAACAGCCCCTTTACATTGAAATATTAAAAACACAGATTTTTTTTTTTATTTTTTTAAATTTCTGGTTACTTTTAAAGAGAATTTCTGTGGTTTCAGCCAGTTCAAACTGTGGTTTAATGGTGGAATCTCTTCCTCATATGGTAAACCACATCTGTCTCAATTCAGGTAACACTTAGGTTCATATTAAGTAATGTCTCATAATCCTGATGTCTGATACTGTGTATACTTCTACAGAGGGGAGTAGCTAAATGCTTTTTACCCCACATGCCATAGTTAAATGATAGAAATCTCTGTTAGCCAAGAAATA